TCAATAATGTTTTCATGAAAATTGCTTTTAGAAAATACATCTCGAAACGACGTGACCATCAAGACGAACTGGAAGGGGTGAATGATCGGAGAAATGGCAAAGATTTAGGTAACAGAAGTTCAAAAGAAGGAGCTTCCTTATAAGGAAGTTCAAAAAAGGATATCAAAGTACTGTTGGAAAAAAACAGTGATTAGTTTCAACAGAGGGATATAGAATTCGGTAGAAGATTTCTGTTATGCGATTCTCCTTTTCTAAAGTGTGGTAAAGTATGAAAGGATGAAAGAATCAGTCGCTCCGGTTACTATCCCTAAGGGCGCAATTGAACGCGCCGCTGAACTTTCATATTACCCTGTCCAAGTAATGTATTAGTAACTACATACGTGGTGAAGACTCGATTGGAATTGATGTGATTCAGTCCACGTATCGCGCAGTCGCAATTGCCCGTCGTACCACGATATGTATCGGTCTTACTTGACAGGAGAACAGGACGTGGGCAGAGAGGTCCACGTTACGATGTGGCGTAGAAGTCGCGTTACCGCTCGCGTGACGACCGTTACCGCTAGGGTGACGACCGTGATGACCGCTGACTGCGCGCGGCTCCCCTTTGCGGGAAGAGGAAATGTCTACGGTGAGGAAGTAGCGAAAAGAACCGCCTGTGTTTCGGAGTGTTTTTCGAGGCATTAGCTTCTCCTTATTCTAATGGACGCCCTAGCCGGCATGTTTGAAAAACAGAGTGGATTCTCAAGTGGTAGTGTTCCACAAATTCCATCACAGATTGTGCACGAAACCGAGAGACAAAGGGGCACGCAAGCAATGGTCGAACTGCAGGCAACGACAGATTATTTGGCGAGACACTGGTGGCAGCATTGGGGGCTGGGACGGGACGGGATGTCCGGGGGGATCGGTTTGGCGCTGCGCCAATCTGTTCAGCTGTGGAAACTGACAAGCTATCACAATTGGTGGAAAACTCTGTGGCAAACAAACTGCATCCAGCGAGCAAGACTGTAGGTCCGACATTTGCAGTGTGAGCAATATAATGCAGTTGTAGGTCAGGTCAATTGACGATATTCAAAAGGAACGACAAGCGGAAGTGCAGATGGAGTTGGAGCGTCGAGAAAAAGACGACCAAAAAACATTTGCTTCTGTAAAGGTATGTCGCTCAAGCTCTTCTTGGAAGCCGTTAGGCTGCGTTTATACTTTGCGGCAGCGTAGCGTAGCGCTTCCAGCGTTTCACTAGCGTTTCGCTAGCGTTTGCAGCGGCGGGGCTAGAGAGTAGAAGAGTAGGAGAGTACAGAATACTCTCCTACGCTAGAGAGTATAGAAGAGTAGGAGAGTATTTTGTGCTCTCCTTGGGCGCGGCATTTTCATAACTCGTTTTAACCTGTCGAATGAAGCACCGGACTTCATGTAGACCCCGTCATCGTAGACACTCATTACTGTTTTCGGTCCTTAATTGCATGTTGTCGCCATCTACTGCCTGGAACCATCGTCCTTTGCAGACGAGACGTCGCACGCGACGCCCAGCAGCGCGGCGAATTACGATCCTCTTGTCACATACCCCGCTGCGAGCGCTAGCGAAACGCTAGTGAAACGCTCGTGAAACGCTGGGAGCGCTAGATCGATAGCTATACATCCCGTGCCCTCGCTACGCTAGCGTTACGCTAGCGTACGCTGGTGACGCTGGGAACGCTAGATCGATATCTATCCTTTCCCCGACTGCCGCTGGCGTACGCTGGAAGCGCTACGCTACGCTGCCGCAAAGTATAAACGCAGCCTAAAAGTGTGGAAGAGGAAAGCTGACCTTTTCACTTCTTTTGCACGACTTTTTTTCGGTCTGATTTTTGTTCAGTGCGGGGTACGGTTTGCATAAACGCTCCCTGTTGTCTGGGACAGGGTTAGAATATCGCACTTATCGATAGATTCGTGGTGTTCGGAAGTGAGTGACGAAGTAGGGAACCACTCACCCGGGCTCGTATGCGGCGCGCTTTGACGTCAGCGCGGCGGCAGCGCGGAGCGAAGGCTGATGGCCTGCGCACTGTGCTCCCATCAACCCACGTTTTTATTTGGAAGGAAAAGAGAGAAAGGGGATTAGACAAATAGTGGGCATATAGGTGAGTTAGTTGTAATGGTGAAATACAGAGAAGTGGCCTATAGGGGCGAATTGCTTTAGTGAATGGCGAAAGTGGCGATAGTGCCTTCGACTGTGAAAACGACGCAAGCGGCTCTCACGCAAAAGTTATGACGTTGTAAGGTCTCACGCAGCTAATGGCAATTTGCCAAAACTCGCCTAAACGTTTACGTTAGAGCTGCTTATGCAGTTTTCCGCTTCGCCTTACCGTCCCTTTGACGTCAAAAATTCGTGCTGCAATGAGCATGGGTGAACTTTTCCATGGAGCCAGTGAGTGAGTGAGGACAACACGACACGTAAAGATGTTGGAAGATGAAGCGGAACACCTATATTGAATTGGTGAATGAATGGCCTCTCCCTTATACTCGTGATCAATTTGACGATTTGATAGTTTCTTGAAAACTTTACCTTGGGGTAAAAGTCAAAACCGTTCCGTCGCTTGATTGATGGATGATGGAGGTCGTATCGATGAGAAACCAAATGGTGCCACATCTCATGGTTGGAAAACAGGAACCCTTTGCACATTCCGACGATGCATGTGGTTTTCTGCGGTCACATTCCCAGCACGCGTGAAACGCCCTAATTTCGATTGTCGCCTTGCCCCACCAATTGTTGCCATTTAAGAATGGCAGAAAAGACTTTCATGGCTGCGGTTCAATCCGTGCCTCTCTGGTTCGCCCTTGGTGCTTAACATCAGCAATTTTCTTTCAGTCTTACGGATCTTATAAATTCAGGCGCCGGATCCCAATGAGAAGGACGAACAGCTGAGTGAAAAAAGTAACCGAATACAAGAACTCAAAGATCTAAACATTCAACTGGTTTGTCTAGACTGTTAGCAATTTCCTTCCAGTTGTGCAACTTTTATAGAAACTCATACTGAGCAACTGCAAGCGTTGCTGGAAAAGATAATGACCGAATATGAACTGAGTAGAAAAGATAAAGAAAAACGAAAGGAACCCAACGAGATTTTCGAAAGAAACATTGCAAATATATCTAGATTCGTTGTTAAGTATTCACATGGATGCTCATCGTACCACTGTTGTGCTGGAATCAGGGTCCTTGCATTGATGTATTCAGATGTCGGTTGACAAAGTGCTTTACTATTATGTCTCTGGTCCTTAGTTGTATCAAAAAGTCTCTCACAAATCTCTCATCAGTAAGTTCGAACTGTTCCACTGGAAGGGTTTCGTTTTCGGGTGTACTGGTCCCCCCCCCCGAAGTGCACTTCTTGTGCACGTAAAAGGTTCCTTATTTTATTCTGTGAATTTGCTTCTACATTCCCGGTCCCTCCTGCTAGCACACATTGCCTGGCCAATTAAGACGCCCCTTCTATTTTCTAAAAAAGCTGGTTGATCAAGCCGCCAACAGCCTTGATCGGTCACATGGATGGTAACCAGCGTCTTATTAGGCAGCAAAACAAGGATTTTTGTTCGAGGTCCTCACTCCACATCGTTTAGACGAGCTGCTCATAGTAGCGTACTTCAATTCAACATGGCGTATGGCGTACGATAGATTATTCGTAGATGTTTTAGTTTGGTACATCTGCCACCTTACCTTGTGTGGGCAAAGAGGTGGTCACAATTGTTCCAAAATGAAAATCGTCCATGAAAAGGCAGCCGCTGCAACGCTCAAACTGAAGTACGTGGCCAAGCCCACCTGCTTAGCATATTTAACCACACATCTGCTTGTCAAATATCTTATCTGTCGCATTTCCATGGGCGCAATTCAGCGACAGGGGGCCTTGCACTTTGCTACTGACCAGAGAGCTATTTCATGAGCTCACAAGGGTTGACAGGTTTTATCATGGTAGCTCGACGAGCCTACTCTAGCTTAACAAGAGTTCACAGGCTTTACCAGAGTGAAACCTGAAAACCGGAACTAGTGCAGCAGTGAAAGTGCAAAATGCTCTCCTGTCGCTAAAAGTGCCCTTTCTGGATAATAACTTATGTTTACATCAATCCACTTTTGTGTTTACTCACTTCCTACTGAATTGTTATATTGTGTATCGTTTATCGGTCAGGTTCTTTGTTTGCCTTAGAGTTTATTGAATTGCCAACTGGAGACTGAAAAGGAGCAAGCTGTAAAAGAAAGCGAGCAACTACGCGGAGAGATCTCACGACTCAGGCAGAAAACTGGTGTTGAATGCTGCATTTGTCTAGAGAAAAAGGTACTTCTGCATTGTTATCATCTTCCTCACCACTCCCCTTTCTTCACCGACACAGGAGGTTAGATGAAGAGAGAGGCGGTCAGTGGTGTCATTCCGAGGCGCCCATTTTGCAATCCCGAGCAAAGTCTCCAAATGTACAGTCCCTAGATTGTATGTAGAAGGTCACCCCTACCAATGTGCCTTTTGCACTGGCTTCTCCTTCACTTCACCGTCTTTAAAGGCAGTTGGCACGATAAATCCCCCAAGGCGACTAGGATCAATACTCCTGGCAGGATAGAATTCCGCGACCCTGGGCAGGCGCTGCATAGCGGTTTCCCCGAGGAAGGTGCCCTTATAAGGGCCCTATCAAGCCACAACTTTACGTCCCAAACGCCCGCCACGCCCGCCCGCCCACAAATGGACGTATTCATTCATTTGCTAAGCAAATTATGAAGCGAAGGGATTGGTATGAAGCGGCCGTGATGCTGCATGCATATATGGGTACACATATGCAGCCGTATCTTCGGTAGCGGTGATTGGTAAGATGCCTACGGGAAACTCGTCCGAAATCGATTTACAAGTCACTGAGAACGGGGTATGTGACAAGAGGATCGTAATTCGCCGCGCTGCTGGGCGTCGCGTGCGACGTCTCGTCTGCAAAGGACGATGGTTTCAGGCAGTAGATGGCGACAACATGCAATTAAGGACCGAAAACAGTAATGAGTGTCTACGATGACGGGGTCTACATGAAGTCCGGTGCTCCATTCGACAGGTTAAAACGCCGCGCCAAATCGCCGCGCGTGGCGGTGCGGCGAATTACGATCCCCTTTGCCGTCTCACTGAGAACGGAGGCTTTTTCTTCGCAGGATTTTGACCGTTTCACTCCGTTCTTTCGCCATTTCCCCACTATACAGCGCCCTACTAGCATTTTAGGCTAAGTAGGAAACCATCGTGCCAACTGCCTTTCAAAGAGTACAGCAATGAAAAGGTGGAAGAACTGGATAACCCCGCATAACAATCAGCAAGGACCGTGTGTTGCTTTTCAGTAGGAGAGTGAACACGTGGAAAATTCGGTTCCCCAATCATCGCACAATTATGGGCTCACAGCGCCAACCTTGACCATTTTTCACGGAATTTCTCGTTTTTTTTTGATGACTAGTCAGCTATGACGTCTGTCTTCATTTTCAGCCATGCGTTGTATTCATGCCGTGCCGCCATATGGTCATCTGTGATAGTTGCCATGCTCTGTCAACGTTCACTCAATGTCCATTGTGCCGCGCTCAAGTCTGTGACTCAATAAAAGTCTTCTCATGAGCAGCTTCTGCTGCCCCACGATGACAGTCAATAATACCTTCACAAAGTGCCTCTATGTGTTAGATGATCTTGTCTAGAAGTCTGGCTTGTGTTGTAGTGTGCTTATTCATTCAATGTATTCTTTGCAACGCTCATGGTTGGTTAGCACGATAGGTGAAGCTACCTGTGCCTCATGCTCACTGTTCTCCTAGATTTTTCGAAGTTCGCTTCAAATTGACCATATCAGACCAACACATAAAGCTCTAAAATTTCAGTACTAGTAATATATTTTACCAGCCGGCTTTGCCGGCTGATGCCTGCACGCCTTCTTCTGAGGTAAAGAATGGATTTGCTGAGCGGGCCCGGCTCCGTTGCACTTATCCTTCTCCTCACCGGCTTTTCTTTTATACAGATAGTCAATAATCTTTGACCAATATGTTCATACGAGTGCACTACATGATTCTTTTATATAGTGAGATTGTAAACAATCACACATTGCCTCAAAGTGATACTAAAACATGGATTTTATTCGCGACTCTGCTAGCGGTTGATCCTTCCTCTATTCACCTTATCGCTTTCATTGGCGCTTTTATTACCACACTTGTGATGAGTTTCTACTAAACGCACTCTATGCTTCCCCTCCCGTACTCTCCCTCACTAATCCCACCCACCCACATTATACCCTCCCCACTCCCACTTGCCCCACCCACTCCCCATCCCGAGCGCTGCACGTGCTCACGTCCACCTGCCACGCGAGCAGCTCGTGCAATG